CACAATTAAGCAATGTCGACCAAGTGAATACAGTATTTCTGTCTAGTCATTAAAGAAGATCTGAACATCTATATATTTATAAAATCATTCCCACAAAGCAAAAATGGCTGATGGTAGAAATTGTATTATTTTCATTGAATAATCCAAGCCTGTATAATTGGGCAAAAATTTCAATGACCCCGCATACAACATCTACCTAATAAACACGACTCCGCCCTTCAAATTTCGTCTGGGTTATCCTCTATCTGCCCGAATCAGACAATTCGACAAGTTGGAATATAAACCGCCTGAAACAGCAAATCTGAAACAGATTTATGTCAAAAAATAAAGCCGTCCCATTTCATTGGCTATGAAAAATATCCCAGCATGCATTCTGTGCCTTTGACTATAAAACAGGGAAACAAATTTTATTTATTTTTAAAACACACACACAAACAATTTTGAAAACATTCATATATTCATGGAAATACACAATATTGAATGATAGATTTTTTAAATTTTATAAAATAAATTTACTCAGCACTGCATAAATTTTATATCTGTTTCTATTCTAAAATTTTCATCTGATCATAGATTATTTTTATCTATTTTGGATCAATGAAAAAAATAAAAAAAAAAAAATCTCTTTAATCTAATTTTAGCGTTCCTTTACAGAAAAAAATGATTTAACTTTAAAATTTTTTTTGCATTTTATGGTAATTTGATTGACTTTTATCTAAATTTTTATAATTTACATCAAATTTATTTTACTGTAACTTTTTTTTTATAAAAAAAAAAAAAAAAAAAAAAAGAAAGAACTTTTCCTTTCTCAAATAAAAAAATTCTACCTTAATTTATTTTAATTTAAAAAAAAATATATTCTTTAAAGTGTATGTACAGAATATGAGGCCAGGTAAAAATCAACAAACAACAAACATTTCTCACTGACTCTTTTCTATTATTTATTCATTTAATCATTCTTACAAATTTCTCATTTTTAACAATTTTTCAAATTTTCTCATTCTTTAATAAAACTTGAAATGAAATTTTCCTTTGTTATCTTTTGATTTAAAAAATCTCTGGGGTTTTCCAATATGAATTGAAGTTTAATTTCAAGAACACACACAGACTCAAAAAAAGCCACTGACAAATATTCAATAAAAAAATCCTTGTCCATTCTCTTTATAAGATCATTTCTTTTAGTGAGTTATTTCCCTTTCCGGATCTTTTCCTTTTTGGGTCCCTTGACTTAGAACTTTTACCGATGGGACAAAATGACTATCTCTCTCTCTCAATAAAAATAAAATTTCAAAACAGTCTAAAATAACGGGAGTTGTGTCCTCCTTCATCCCTTTCAAATTTACATTTCAATGATTTTAAACTTAGGTTAATACTTTCCCATATAAATAAAGTGACAGAATTTTAATTGAATTCTGATGCCATATGACAATGGTCAATTTACTGGTCAATTTTTTCTTTTACTATTTAATATTTTTTTTTTACTAATGTTCATCTTGTACAAGGTCCAATACAAACCAAAAAAGTGGTTCCCAAAACTTTTTTTTTGTTGTCCCACCTAAGATTTTTTAAATCCTGATGCCCTTATGATATAAAATTTTAAATTATTCAAAAGTGAATTCTTATTCATTTGGAGGAAAATAAATAATAATAGTAAGTTTATTATGAATTTGAGACTTAAATCCATGCATTGGTGCTTTTTCAATTTCAGAATTTTTACTATATTTAATAAAACTATTGTTTTAGAAATGAAAAATTTAGTGGCTCGGATTGTTGGAATAAGGAATAAATTACGTTTTTTTCCAATCGAATCTTAATTTTTAGTCATTCTAAATTTACAAGAAATAAAGAAAAAAAAAGGTATGAATCATCATCTTCTCCCTCCAGCTAATGGGTAAATAAAAAAACAGAATAACATTCTTGTAAATTGAAAACGATAAAAAATGGACTACAAAATTTAATTATACCTTGGGCACAAAAGTTCGGCCGCTCAAAAATAAATGTTGGTTTGGATGCACAAAAAATTTTCCTAAATTGGAATTTTTTCATATGTGCTGATGTCTGGCAATGTTTATGAAATCATAAAAACGAATTTTTTGAGAACAAGTAATGTTATATACAATACATACTATAATACATATATATAGGATGCGATGGGTAAATTGTCACCATTTTATTTTTTATTTTTTTCATATGCCGCTGTTTTTTTTTTTTTTTTTTTCAACTGCACAGTATAGCAGGGTAAGTTGGGCACCATCTGTAAGAAAAAGAGCACCATCACGCAATTCACTCCGCCAGAAATTTGGAAACGGTATGCTGTGCTGCTTGGCATTCGCACCTGAAGCTACAATACGAACATTTCAGAATGTTTGGGTGTCAATCTGAGGACAGTGGAGAGGACACGGAAAGAATTAGATGACTCTAATGGTGATTATGAAGGTACAGCAGCTCTGGAAAACTACGATGGTGATTTATGCCTCCATTCATCTTCCCAGGGGCCTCA